CAAAAAGTCTTTTCCTGACATTAAAAACAAAACCAAAAACTCATAAAACATGCAGTAAAAAATATTAGGACTAAATAAAAAACTTCTTGGCAGCAGCCCCCAATAACAAGATAAAGCAGCTTTCAACTACTCTTACTGAGCAAATGCACACCAATAGGAACAGTTAGGCCCAGGAGAAAACCATGGTTTGGACTTGTTGAGAGCCTAGAACAGATTCTCACCTCATGGACTCCAGGAACACTAAATAATGAAGTAAACAATGGCCTGTGCTGAAGGAACTAGAGAATGCCCCAGACATAAAAAAGAAGCTCAATAGAAACTACCCTCTCCCTTACCCCATCACCAAAATTCAATCTCAGCCTCAATCACAAACTACCTCCAAGCCTTACGTTTCTTTCCATTAATGTGATCCAGGAAGTTAATAGAGTCTTTCACTACACAGTCACAGACATTGCAGTAGTATCTAGAAAATAGAAAGAAACAGCACTAGTTTCAAATCTGGTTATAAAGATTTTATTGTTTTCAGCCAAGAAACTCGTAATGTTTAGGTAAAAATTATTTTTAGAGGAGCTACTTCTCATTTCCACAAAGCCTTTGCTCTTGGAAGAGTGTGGCTTGCAACCTCCAAGATGGCCCCCGCAATGATGCCACCTATATTCCTACCCTATATAGGCCATTCCCAATTTGTACCAGGGTTACTCCGTGTGATCAATAGACTATATCAAAAGTGATGTTATGTCACTTCCAAGATTAGGTTTTCTAAAAAAACATGCATTCTGCTTAGTCTGTTCATGTAGATCACCTGCCCTGGGGAAGCCACTTGCTTTGTTGTGAGTAGCACTATGGAGTGGCCCATAGAGCATAGAACTGAGGCCTCCAAATCACAGTCAAGTGACAGAGTTTGCACAAAGATCCTCCAGCCCTACTTACGCCTCGGATGAATGCAGACCCAGCAGACACCCTGATGGCAGCTTTGTGAGAGACCCTGAGCTAGAACCACCTAGATAAGCCTTTCCCATATTACTTACCCATGTGAGATATTGTGAGCTATTCTTTGTTTTATGCTGCTAAATACTGGGTTAATATATTAACACAAATAGCAATAGATAACTAACACAAAGAGGAAAGGTAACAGTGAGTTTACTCAGAGAAGCAGCTCAGAGAAGTGTCACTTGTTGTTATCTGTGTTATGCTCCTACTGGAAAACGCACCTAGACATAGTAGTAATGTTAGGCAAAAAGATGAAGAGTTCTTGTGAGACCTTTCTTCCTAAAGGTAAGGGTCTAGGAGGAAGGTGCACAACCAGGAAAACAATAACAACTACAACTTCTGTAGCCAGTCTTGAGCCTCAACTCCCTTTATTCACCGTCGACAGTCTGGGCTCTATTCTAGCTGCACCTAATTTCTCCCCTAGAAATCTCCTCAGTAGTCCTTTCATTCATTTCTTCCTTTAGCAGGAGAACAAATAATCCCTTTTAAGATATTAAGAAGTAGTTACAGTGCTAATATGAAGAAGCCTACAGAGTAACCCCCTCTTACAGACAAGTTAACTAGAGACCCTGGAGAAAAATGGATGGAATTACAGGAAACAAGGTTGTTATTCTGGGGGCAGGTATCCTGCATAACCCTTCCTGGCTGCTTAACACTTCCTGGCTGCAGAGAAAGAAGAAAAGCCACTCACCCTCCCATCTCAGACTGTGGGGTGGTCTTGGTAATGACAATTGTCTTCCCGAGTTTGGATTCCAGGTCCACCTTGTAGTCCCTATGCCGGAGAAGCTCTCGCTTAACTGGCTGCACTGGTTTTCCTGAAATATAATGGGGAAGGAAGTCCCTTCATTATTAGAGTTCCTTAATCAGAAAGGAAAAGAAATGCATAAAGTCCAAATTCAGAGGTCTACTTTCATTTCTTTTTTGAAACATGAAGCAAAGGACACAACAGTCACTTGTAGCAGCAGCTAAGGAGAAGCTCAACACAAAAAAATGACAAGCAATTCTTAACTCTATACATCTTTTCTCCACTTTAAAGCCAACGAATCTAAAAGCAATTTTTTATTCATTAATTAACTGAACTGAAGGCAAGAGTTCTGAATTTTCCCAAAAAGCAAACTTTTAAAAGAACAGCAAGACCACTCTTAAAAGGGAGACCAATATTTAGGAAATAAGCTGTTGCATGCCAAGTACTACTATACAAGTAACATAAAAACTAAAAGATTTAGAGCATGTAATCTGGTGTGGAAGAAAGCAGAAGAATGTACTGTTTGAAAACAATACGAGAAAATAAGATATTTCTTTCTACAGAGTGGAATCTCTAGAAGAGGAGCACCAAATCCCTGACACTGTCTATCGCACAGAGAACAGTGCTAGACGCTAGGTTAAATACCATGTTTCCTGCTGGGAGAAAAAGAGGCTCTTCAATAGTAGTAACACACAGCAGCGAAATACGCCTCCTGTCACTACTAAGGATTCCACTCTCTTCTCTGTACCTGAGGAAAGTACTAAATGAGCCAAGCAAGGGCAGAGCAAGGAAGCCGAGAATCACAGAGCTGGAAAGCACCTCAAAAGCACTTCAGTCCATCTCCTCGCTTTCACCTTATACCTGAAGAAATTGAGAACCAGGGAGGCAATACTCTGCCAGATATTACAGAAGTATGGAGGACAGCGCATTTCAACTCCCCACCCACTCTACAACCACTGCATCGCCTCTACAATACAGTTAGCACTTGATGGAGCAAGTACCCACCATCCTTCTTTTCTCTCTCTTCCGTGAGCCTCTTCTCGGCGAGCTTCTCATATTCATCTTTGTCCCACTTTCGGCGAAAGTCCAAGTTTTTTGTCTGGGGGAAGAAAAACGCGCTTAAGACTCGCCGCTCATCGTGTCCAACTCCTGGAAAAACTGAAGAAACCGCGTCCACGCTCCAAGGCGGCCCGGGACTTGAAGAGAGCGAAGCCTCTCCGGACACCACTAGGAGGCTAAGGTTACCTCAGGACCCCCAATCCGAGCCCTCCCCGATTCCTCAGACCCTGCACGAAAGCCTCACTGGGGAGCTCTTGAACCGGAGCCATTATGTTGCGAAGAGGTGTCAGAAAGCCAATTGGGTGTGGAATATCCAGCGCCGAGAAACCACCCCCTTCCCCCGACTCCAAGCCTCCTCACACAACACCTACCCCACTGCCTGACGCCATCTTCACTGCGAAGTGAATGGGAAGCCGGAAAATGCCGTAAAAAGCGGCCTTGAGCCGTAAAGCAAGCTTGCCTCCAATCAGCTTAAACGCTCGTGTTCCAAACGAGCTAAGAACTGGAGAGCTTCGAAAATAGGCTTGTCAGCCCCGCCTCCGCGACGAGGAAGTAGCGCATGCGCAAGGAAAGTATGAAGCAACACGGAAGTAAGGGTGTCTGGAAACGTTTTTGCCCTGGCTTTCAAAACAGGCAGATTCAACTCGTATTAACAAGAGGAAAATAAGATTCAGATCAGTGCTCTCTCATCTAGTCTAATAAACTTGCGTGTATTCCAGGAGTTTCCAAACCTTTAAGGCTGAAGCGCTGTTATAGGGTCTCAAATGCTTCACGTTACTGCTTCACCGCAAGCACTAAAGATACAGCCTCAGAGCACTGAACTGTTTGTAAAGCTTGCAGCCTTCCCAACGCACATATACAAAGCGCTTTTTGCAGTTTGTCTCTATCTTGAAGCAATGCTAGCACCCTTTGAAAAGTGAAAGTTAAAGTGAAGTCGCTCAGTTATGTCCAACTCTTTGTGACCCCATGAACTGGGGCCTACCAGGATCCTCCTTCCATGGGATTTCCCAGGCAAGAGTCCTGGAGTGGGTTGCTATTTCCTTCTCCGGAGGATCTTCCCGACCCAGGGATCGAACCCGGGTCTCCCGCATTGTAGGCAGATGCTTTACCATCTGAGCCACCAGGGGACCCTTTGGTTCACTCATTTTTCCTCCAGCTGAGAACATTAGGGTCATTCAATCCATAGGGCACAGTTTAAACAACATGATCGCACTTGGGAAGGTGGGTATCAGCAACACTCCCGTGAAGAACTCTAGCAGATGTCTCACTATACACTGATTCAGTGGTGTGATTCTATCTCTAAATTGGGGAGAGGGGGAACTGTGGCCACTCCCTTCACTCAATACAGAAGCATCACCCCAGGGAGATTACTCCTAGCTCACAGAATCCTCCAGTGTACACTCAAGCGTTTTCTATGGTCTATGCAAACCAACCCCTTGATAACAAATTACTCAAACTACTCCATTTAAATTTTATTTAATATATTATACAACCACTTCAAGAACAGCCACCTCCATGGTAGGATATGAAAGTCAGAGAAGTGATTACGGCACAGGTAATGGGCTCCAATCATATCTCCATCTTATCAGGTCACCTATTAAGTTGAACGTTCAAGATTATTAAACAAACAGGCTCACCCTATTATTATTAACAGTGAATGAGCCAAAGAGATGCCACATCAATATGGGCAGTGCAATGCCCTTAGGATAGCACCTCTGTTCTCAAACAGAACAGGAAGCAGTCATTTCCCCTCCTTGCTGTCTCCCCAAAACTCCCTGGACAGCCCATGACTAGATTTTGGACAAACTTTCGAGAAGCCATAGTAGAAGGCTAAATATATGATTTTTGATCTCAATGGTTCAGAATCCTCTCAACCTGAGGTGACTTTCCCAGAGACTTGCTGACAGCAACCATCTCAGCACATTGTTGGTAGCGTTCAATGGCATTTCAAACCTGCCATTTGCCTTGGCAGTTAGAGCATATCTCTTTCACATACCAGCCATCATGTGTGCCCACGCAGCATAGCTGCTCACACTAGCCTAGGAGTCCTCAGGGCGTTCTACAGTTCTGTACACAGAAAGGATAAGGATCCAGAAACACTTGTCACCCATTCTGGCCAGCAGGTGTGAAGTCCTTTAGGAAGTCAGTCCTAGGTGAAACCTTTTCTACAAAGAGCAGCATATGGCATTCAGGTAATGATCAAGACTCAAGACAGTCGTTTCTGAATTTCAGCCACTAGATTTTCCCGTTTAATGGCCACCTGAAACATAAGAGAACCCTCATGTGACAAACTAGAGAGTGATACTAGCTTCTTAGCCTCTCATTTTCTGGATTCATTTACCTCTGCAACTGCTTCCATTACTTGGGCAACCAGTAGGGAGGAGTAGGTGCTTCAGCCTGACCTGGAGAATGTATCCCCTCAAGACTAAAGTGATTCAAATACCTAATCTATGTCTGTTTTGTTGATTAATCTTAAAATACCCATGGAGATTTCACTTGTCCTTTTGCCCATCCATCCAATCATCAGCTATAATGGTTGCCCAGGATGGAATCTCATTCACCTGTATCACTATTAACCCTGGAGATACTTCCACAGCTAAAATATACGTATTTCTCAAAGAATCTAAGAAAGGTAGAAACACCTGGTCCCTTCTATTTCTGGCTGGCCTGACTCACCTCCTCCCTGCTGGCCACTGAACGGAGCTTGATGACCCCTTCCTTCAGTTCTTGCTCACCAATAATGACCACCAGTGGAATGCCCATGTTCTCACAGTAGTGCAGTTGGGGTAGTAGTTTAGGGTTGTTCTTATACATCAGCTCTGCCTGAAAAGGGTGAAGTAAGAATAGGGGATTTAGAAGTTAAGCATACCACTGAAAATCCCAGGAGCAAACGTATCTAAAAAGTACCTAGCCTACTTGTACTTAAGAAGATACTCCAGTGAAGACTAGAAAGGTCTTGAGTTCCACCCTAGGTATAAGCTAGAAGTGGGCCTGGTGCATGAATTCTACATATACCTAGATGGTGTGGATTTTAGCTCCTTTATACCTTGATCCCAGCATCCCAAAGCTCTGCAATTAGCTTCAACCGTTCTTGAAGAAAGTTCTTCTGTGGTGTGGCCACAAACACTTGGGTCTCTGTAGTCCGTATCTTCTCACCAAAAATCTAGTAAAAGAGAGAGAGGAAAGTAAATAATAACAACTTCTTTTGCACTAATATTTCAAAAAAACAAAAACAATCATCAAAAAACAGTCCAACTGCACCTCCAAAAACATGAGTTTTTAACGCGTGCAGCCCCACTCTAACCCTACCTTCATCCTCTGCTCCACAATGGAGAAGATTCGCTCTACCCCAATGCTGAGCCCCACACATGGCACCTTGTGGCCTCTGGGGTCAAACATGCCCACCAGCCCATCATAGCGACCACCAGCAGCCACACTGCCCACATTCAGTGGCTCCTCCTCAGCATGCACTGGGGTCTGTAGCAGCACTGCTTCATAGATCACTCCTGTATAGTAGTCCAGGCCTCGAGCCAAGCTCAGGTCAAAGGAGACCTGTGGAGACAAAGTTATAGTCAGTGTCACACAAGACTCAGGACCCTCAGAGCCCTAGACACAGCAAGAGGTCAACTCCCTATTCAGCTAACCTTCTCAGCAACTCCAAATAAAGTCAGGTATTCAAACAGCAGCTTCAGGTCTCCCAAGCCCTCTAGGGCCTGCTTGTTCTGGGATAGTATGGGATCCTGGAACATTTGCTCCACCAAGGATATCCCACCTGGGGAGACATGTGGGGAGAAATAAGGTCTGTGTTATACACCCAGATGTGTTTCATTCAAATTTAACCCTAATGTGCTTCAACTAGTCCTCCTCATTTTCTTTAAAAAAAAAAGTTAAAATCCTGATCATATCCAACCAGATTTCCCTCTTCTACCTCCATCTTTGATACCTGAAGACATAACTGATTACAGTAAGTAAAAAGGTTATTAAATTCAAACCAGGCTCTGGAACTTAGCACACTTATGGAAAGGAGCTGTTTCCGCGGTAGAAGTTATACACGGATCACCCTTACTCTGGTTCTATCACGTACCTCTAAAATAAAAACACTGGTTCTTACCATGACATTGGACATAATCCCCAATTCGATCAGTCACTTCAGGAGCCAGGCCTTTCTTTACCACCATCTCATGTCTCACATCTTTCCAAGACATCTGCACAAACATCCAAACATTAGGCTAGCCCCAAGATCCCTCTTTCTCTAAATGGAAAAGGATATCTTGTTTCATTCATTAGGTATGTCACGAGTAGCTAACACTATATTCAGCACAGTTAGAGGCAGTTTAGGAAATCTAGCCATAATCTCCACTGCACAGAAAAATTCAGGTCTTGTTTCAGAATGTCTCCTTACATTCCTCCCAGAAATAACTCACTTCTGGCCACCATCTCCTCTAAGGGTATAGGTTTGAAGGCAGGGTCTACTGAAGCGTGTCTTTTTCATTACCTTGTCTAGTTTGTCTACTGAGGAGCAGATGGCATGGAACTTGCTTTCAGGAACACCACAGACAGTAAATATTCCATCCAAAATCCGCCGGTCATTGACCTATGAACTCAATGGAAGCAACCCAAATGCCTTGTCAATGACCTCTCCATCAAAACAATGGCAGTCCCAACTCTCCTGACTCATAAAAGGGACAGAAGTTTCACAGAATGATTATATAAATATAGATATGAAATGCAACACCTGTACAAAGAAAATCCTAGAGCTACAGGCTCAATGGCTGGTGTCACCTATGTCTTGAGACAGTTTTGAGACAGTATTAGGCCGAATCCAGACTTTGCCCCTCAGTCCTCAGCTCTGGCCTCACCTTAATGAGAAAATCCCCCAGCTGCAATCCACTAAGGATTTCACACATGATCTTCAAACATTCTGCATCAGGGATCATAGGGTCAAATTGACCAGCAATGTCAAAATCCTGCAGCAAAGAAAAAGATGGGAAAAAAGTTACTGAGCAGCCAGTTCCCTGGTCGTGGCCCCCAGAACTATCAAACCATGCTGCCTCCATCAGGTTTCTTACACACTGGTAGAATTCCCGGTAGCGGCCTTGGGCTATGGTTGGGCTCTCCCGCCGCCACACTTTTCCAACATGATAGCGTTTCATCTTCTTCACTTTATTCATTGCCAGATAACGAGCAAAAGGGACCTCACATAAATAGGTTAAAGAAGAAGGATACTGCATCCAAAGTTTAGGCCCAGTGGAAAGGCATTAGGAAGGACTGGGGCTCTATCAATCAAATCTCATCCACTAGAATTAGAACAAGGACCTTCTTTGTCTCCTTTCTCTATACCCATGGCTTAGCAATCAATATATGTTAAATAGCGTCAAATGAAGGAATCCCAGCTAGCAAGACTACAAGTTCTGTAAAAAGCAGTGGAAATAGAGATAGAAATGACTCAAGAACTTCAAGTCTGGGCATTCCCTCCCACTCAGATCAATTCTTAACTGTCTTAGAAGAGTCAAGCTTCAGAACCTGGATTTGTCTATAATTTCTAAGTCAACTTTTCTTCAAATGCTCAAGGACCACCTACATCCTAATTCCCAAGTATCTGTTTAAAATGCAGATTGCTAACTCCCACTCCAGCTACAGAATTAAGACCATCAGGGGCTAGAGGTCAAGAATTTGCATTTCGGCAAGCTTCCTCCAGGGATGCTGACATACTATTTTTTTTGGGGGGGGGGGGCGCCACGCTGCATGGCATGGGGGAATCTCAGTTCCCCAACCAGGGATCGAACGTGCACCCTCTGCATGAGTCTTACCACTGAACCACCAGGGAAGGTCACCTAACACACTATAGACTTAAATGACAATGCACTAGGACAGGCTGTGCTGGCAGAACTGCCTTCTGGAAGAAACCAGAAGTAAAGACTGCCGCCAACAAGACTATAGGGTCCCCGAACCACTCTTTTCCGGTTAGTCAGAGATGCCCTCTGGGTTTGGAGAGAGGGAAGTCCTCCAGAACTCAGGATACAGTAAGGTCATAGCGCAATGACAGCAGCTCTCCGCCCTGATCCTGCAGGTCATAGATGAGCCCACAGTCCTCTCCATACTTCTCAGTGAGCACCTCCTACAGAAGCCAAACACAAGTGCCATGTTAAAAGGAAAACTCCAGAACATAGGCTAGAAGCCCCTTGGGAAATAAGGCAGGCGAAGAAATGGGGTTCCTGCACTTTTTTCTCCTCTTACCTTTAGTTCAAATGCCGGGGTATCCAACCCCTTTGCTCCATGACGTTTAAAGCAGCTAACAACCACATCAAGAATTTTCTCCCTCACCACCATCTGCTGGGGACTAAGATCTCTGGTACCCTAGAAATCAAAAGGAGCCAGAGTGAAAACAAAACCAAGTCCATTTAAGACAAAGAGTTAACCTATATCTACAATCTAAGGTCTGGAGTTGAAATCACTTTGGGTTCAGATGACTATGAGCCCCACCCAGTACCTCCAGAATAGTAAAGACTTTTTAAAAATTAGTTAAAAAAAACGTTAAAAGTAGGGAATTCCCTGGGGGTCCAGTGGTTTGGACTCTGTGTTTAGGATATGGGTTCAATCCCTGGTCAGGGAACTAAGATCCTGCACTGTAAGACACAGAGTATGGTCAAAACAAATGAAAACATTAAAAGTGGTTGGGAAGGGAAGCAGAGGGCAGAACTCCAAGGCACTCTAATGGACAGGGTGAGATACAGGGTATTACCTTTGGGGTCTTGATAATAAAATTTGACTTCTCTTGATAAGGTTTCAGTTGGGATGCAAACAGTGCCTCTGCAACCTGGCAGAAAAAAATGTGAGATACAGATCCTCTCATTCTGGCCAGAGGAACTTCCTTGGTGATCCAGCAGCTAAGGCTCCACACTCCCAATGCAAGGGGGGCTGGGTTTGATCCCTGGTCCCCTGGATCCCACATACTGCAACTGGGAGTTCCCATGCCACAACTAAAAGATCTTGCATGCTTCAACTAAGACCTAGCACAGCCACATACTGGCAAGGATTGTGGTATCTCTGGCCCTGTGCACCACCAACCTGCAAATATTTTTGGCCCTGAGCAATAGGAACTCTGAACACTACGCTATCTATCCTAATCTCAGCGCACTTCCAAAAACCCAGCTGTATATGCAATACATATAAGATCAGGTGTTTACCATACAAGCTTCCTCACCAAATTCGGAGTTTTCAAATATATGGAAAAGTTTAACCACCCAAAAACAATGAAGGCACAAAGAAACCCAAGACTACCACAACTGACCATCTAGGAGTAGGGACTAATATGATCTCTAGTTCTGTTTCCACTCAAACAGCAAAAAATAAAAATTGTGAATAAGATAGCAATGGTCATTAGGCTTAGAGATAGGGAAAAAATTAACTTGACGACAGAAGAGAACCAGCCCAAGTACAGCGCATTCTCTTTCTTCCAAGAACAGAGAACAATGCCTGTGGAACAAACAGGAATGGATTAAAAAAAAAAAAAAGATTAGTAGGATGCTGTGACTGCAAATAACAAAAGATATGCACCCTGATGGTCATGATAACACAAAGCATCTACGAGGAAGTCAACAGTGTCTTTCCCAAGGTAAAACAGAATCTGTGATTTTATTACCAGCAGACTGTACACCCTTCCAGAAATACAGAGGGTGTAGTTTATACTTTGGAGGATTCAGTTCTCCAAGCCCACAGCCCCTCCTAAGAATCCATAATCTCTGAAAACTACGAACTGGGATGAGGGGGATTCATTTTGAGGTAAATTCTAACGTGAACTCACTCTACTTATGGTCGTTAGTGGGAATGTTCACATTCGTTGCTTTAATTTTTTTTTAATGTGTTTGACCCCAAAAGGTTCAGATAAGGGCTAGTGGACCTGTACTAAAATGCTCCCTTACTACGTAGCCATACGTAAGTCATTTAACCTTGCAGCCTCCGCTTCCTCAACTATAAAATGGAAATATAACCCCAACCTCTCAAGATTGCTTTGATGATTAAATCATAAAGCATCCTAAAAGGTCTTAGCTCTGTGTCGGTACATCTAGGGCACTAGATGTAATACGGCGGGAGTACAGGCTGAGAGTCCATGCTTTCAGACCTGGAGATCCTGCCCCGACAGACCAGAGATATCTCAGTCTGGCTCACCTGACTGTGAGAACGGACTGCCCTGATGCACACAGCACCGGGCGGCCGCCGGAGCTGGCCAAGCAACACAGTCCAGGCTCTCCAATGTAGGAGTCCGAGCTGGGGCATCTTGCGGCAGAAAGCAGGATTTCCGGAACAAGAGGCAAAGGACCTAAGAATGAGGCAGACACGACCCCAGGAAAGGTTACAGGACGCTGTGGAGGCGAAGCCGAGCACCAAAGATGAGATGAGTGCTTCTACACCTCTCAAACCTAACACAGCCACTCCACTGCTCTCCGGCTCCCGCCCGGCCTCCGCACATCCGATAGGAGCCGGAAGTGATCTTTTTATTGGGCGGTGGCTCTCTAGGCGTATGGGCCAACTACTCGATATCCGGAAGTCCTCCGAGTCGAGGCTGTGGCCATCGCAGCCTATCTAGCCAGCAGTCAGCTCCAGTCGGCAGCCAGTATGGCCGATCGTGTGGCTCTGGAGGATCTGGTGCGAGTTCAGGGAGAGCGTGTGCGGGGCCTTAAGCAGCAGAAGGCCAGCGCCGAGCAGGTACGACCCAGGCGGCGGGAGAGAGGACAAAACAAGGCCAGCGAGGACAGAGCGGGGGTGGTCTGCTCAGAGGATAGGGATCTGGAAGAAGGGACTGGACTGGTAAAAGCAGAACGGGCTGATTGGGGAGGTAGTTGGGGTAGGATTTGGGGGAAGCAAAGCTAGGAGAGAGATATGGCCCACGTCCTGATGGGGGGGATACTGAATGAATGGCTGGAGCGGGAGGGAGTGGCAGATGCGGTAGTCCAGCGCCGACTTTCCCTCCACAGATCGAAGAGGAGGTGGCAAAACTACTGAAACTGAAGGCACAGCTGGGCCCTGATGAAGGAAAACCTAAGTTTGTGCTCAAAACCCCCAAGGTAAATATCATTCCTTTAGGGAGCCTCCTAGAGGGTCCCTAATTCCACTCACAAGGACGCATATGCCTGCCTACCTGAACCAGATCACTGAGGAGGATCTGAAATGCTGCATAGGATACAGCAGTTGCTCTTGGCGCCAGGCTGGACTGGACTCTATCTGAGTCATTCTGGGATGGCAAAATGATGGAAGAAACTAGGCCAGCTGGGTGCTCGGGGGAGTCTACTCCTCCTTTCACTCAGTAAATATTACTGAGTGCTTTCTGTGTTCCTAGCAGTGTACAAAGCAGTGAGTGTACCATGGTGAACCACATAGCCTTCCCTCAGAGAGCTTGGGCTTCCCTGGTGGATCAGTGATAAAAGAATTCATCTGCAATGCAGGAGACACGGGTTCGATCCCTGGGTGGGGAAGATATCCTGGAGAAGGAAATGGCAACCCACTCCAGTATTTTTGCCTTGGAAATCCCATGGACAGAGGAACCTGGTGGGCTACAGTCCATGGGTTCGCAAGAGTTGCACACGACTTAACGACTAAACACAGACACACACACACACACACAGAGCTTACATCCTACAATGGAAACAGACTTGGGAAGAAAAATAATCCCACACATGGATATGTAATACAAGTTGTGTTAAGTTATGTAAAGAAATAGAAAGGATGCTCTGAGAAAAATAAGGGAGAACTGCAGAGTCTGAGGAAATAATAGACTAGTTGATCTGTAGATGAGTGGGAGACAGCCAGGTGAAGAATGTGAGGAAGATAGGTCCAGGTAGGGAAATCCTGAAGCAAGAAAGAATCTTGGTATTATCTAAGAACTAGAAAAAGACTTTATGTCTGGAATCAAATAGAGAGGGACAGTAGAGTGGAATGAAGTTGCTAGCTCAGCCTCCATGATTTCAGTTCAGGTGACACTTTCTGTGAGTTCTATAAACTGGACTACTTACCCATCATCTAGGTACCCTTGGCACTTCATAAATACTCTGTTATTGCATTTATTGCTGACTTTTCATTATTCACATGGTTGATTTAACCTGAGAGACTGAGACTAGGTGCCTGGGACTAAATAGGTATTCAATGAATATATGTGAAATTTACTTCCACAGTAGGAGATGATTTGTCTTCCTTATGTTGAGATGTCACCTTTTAAGAGTAATTCTTTGGGCTCCTAAAATCATTGAGCTATTCTTTTCTACATGTAACTCATTTCAAACATTAAAAAGGCAGTGTAAAATCCCAAGGCAGTAACCATCAATAGCTATTCAAAATATTGAGTGAAAAGATTAATGGGGATTTATTGATAGATCAGGCTGGCTTCACCTAAACCCAATGATCAATCTTAGCATCGCTAAAAGTAGGACGACCAGATATTATATTCCACCAGATGTGATGCAATAAGAAGTACACAGCACCACCTATGAAGTGTTCTTGCCAAGAACAACTGAACCTGAATCTAATCAGTCTTCAGATCTAACTACCAGTTTACCGGAAATATGGGAAATGGAGGAACACAGGTTAAATGACCACATTGAGTATACTGTTAACCAAATCTAGAATGAGAGAAATTCTTTCAGAAAAATGACTCAATTTCCTCAAGAAGAAAGGACAATTAAAAAAAAAAAAGGAATTTGTTGCAGATTAAATAGTCATGAGACACATCATCCCAGTACAAGACATGAAGTTATTTAGAATCTGATTCAGACAAGCCAAGCATAAAAAGATATGACTGCAACAATTGGGAGTAATAAACATGGTTTGGGCACTATCTAAAGGGTTGCTGTTAAGCGGGCTGATCTTAAGTTGTGTTGGTTGTAAGAAAGGTATTACAGTATTTTGTCTTTTAATCTTTGTATGTTAGAGAATCATACTGAAATATTTGTGGATGAAAGTATATGATATCTAGGATTTAATTTAAAATACTGCAGGAAAAAAATGTTGGGGCTTAGTTAAAAAATAGCAGATGTTGATAGTTGTTTAAGCGAGATAGTAGATACCTGGTGGTTCTGTGTACTATTCTCTATAATGTGTGTTTGAAATTTTCCATAATGTTAAAAGAAAATGTGAATATAGTGAAGAGTTAATATCCACTCCAGTTTGTTGAAATAATTTCTTGATGTGTGATTCATAGTTAACAAAAACTCAGTATTACAGGGAAAGGACTCTTTTAAGGGACCTTCCTGGTCAAAATTACTTTCATAATGTTACATGCCCTTTTCATTTCATTTGCAATGAAGGTGCAAAAGCACTGATGTGTAGAACTGCTGATGTCTTAGGACAAATCAAGATGCTGGCATGGAGCTGTACTAATAGTCAGTTTATGTTCTTTACTTTCAAAAACTCACAGGGGAAAAAAAAATTCAGTTTTACTTAAGAATGTCCGTGATAAAACAGTAAAAATTATTAATTTTACTCATCATTGACCCTTGAGTACACTTTTTTAACACTCCACATGATGTAATGGGAAGCACACATAAAGCACTTCTGCTGCATCCCAAAATAGAAAAAATACTTGGTGCCATGTATGAATTATAAGCTGAACTAGCTGCTTTTCTCATGGAAAACGTTTTGTATTTGAAAGAAAAACTGAAAGATAAACTATTGTGTTAAAGATTTGGCTATCTGGCAGATCTTTTAACAAAAATGAATAAAGTGCACCTTGACACCTCAAGGGAAACATTCAACAGTATGTGTTGCCAGTAAAATAAAATTCAAGTGTTCAAGAAGAAGTTAGAACTTGTTATTTTCCACCATGAGCCTGACAGCTTCCCAACACTTAAAACTTTTTTGATGAGATCTATGGTGACATGACAGAGAAGGCAATGGCACCCCACTCCAGTACTCTCGCCTGGAAAATCCCATGGACGGAGGATCCTGGTGGGCTGCAGTCCATGGGGTCGCTAAGAGTCGGACACGACTGAGTGACTTCACTTTCATTTTTCACTTTCATGCATTGGAGAAGGAAATGGCAACCCACTCCAGTGTTCTTGTCTGGAGAATCCCAGGGACGGGGGAGCCTGGTGGGCTGCTGTCTATGGGGTCGCACAGAGTCGGACATGACTGAAGTGACTTAGCAGTAGCAGCAATGATGACATGAACAAGTATGGTTTTCTGATATTGTATAGTGAAGCATATCAACATTTGGAAGATCTGTATAACTGTTATCAAAGAACCAATATTTTCTAAATGACCAATGCATGATGTTATAAAATCATGCCTGGGTAAAATAGCCATTCCAAGTACAAGATAGAGTAACAGATCCTTTTAAATTGTAGTAAAATATAGATAACATCAAATTTGCCATTTCAGCCATTTTTAGGTGTACAGTTCAGTGGCATTTAGTACATTCATACTGTTGTATGACTATCACTGCTGTTCATCCTCCAGAACATTTTTACCATACCAAACTAGAATTCTGTACCCATTAAATGGGGTAGTGATACCCCATTCTACCCTCCCTCCAGTTCCTGGTAAGCAGTGTTCTACTTTCTGTCTCTATGAATTTTGTGTTCCTTTTAATGGATTTTAATGTGACAGTGTAAAAAGTTCATTGATGTAGTTTTAGATTCCACATTGTAACCAATCCTTAAGAAGCTTTCCCTCATCAGATTTTGGTGTAGTTTAGGAATATCTAAAGTTAGCTGAAAAGTTTATTAAAATATTCCTCCTTTTACAATTATACATCTCTGTAAGGCTAGATTTTCTTTATATACTCAACCAGAACAACATATCACCACAGAATTGAATGCAGAAAGCATATATGAGAATAGAGCTGGCTTCTGTTAATCCAGACATTAAAGATTTGCAAAAATGTAAATCAATGCCACTCTTCTCACCAAATCTCTTTGTTTTGGAAAGTAGTTTCATTTTCCTAAAGTGTTATTTTTGTTAACATGTAATGGATTTTCATTTTTGTTAAGTGAATTAATATTTTTAAATGTTTGCAGTTTTCATTTCAAACATGATAAATATTGATAGGAATAATCCACTTTGGAGTCCTTAGTAAATAGTAAGAATATAAAGAGGTCCTACTTGTGAGTAACATATAACAACCCAAACTAGAAGTTCTGACCTGAAAGAACAGAGTTCTGGTACTGACTGCCATGAACCTTCTGAGTGGCCTTAAATAATGATTTAACTTCTCAACATGTTCTAATTCATTTACTCAGTTCATGTCATAGGGCTATCAGAAACAAATTAAAGATAAATAGTATTCACTAGGATTTTTTTTTTAAGGCATGCTGGGAGAGAATATTACTTGCAAAATTTGGAATTCAATGAGTTAAGCCAGTTTGAGTTGCTTATATGCCTGTCATCAGGTAGATGTTTTCCGTTAGGCAAGGAAATGTTTTGTTATCCCAGATTAATTAGTTTAGGAAAATTTCTTAAGAGAACAGAGTTCCAAGAATTCGGAAAGATAGAACCAAAGTAAAAGATGCGTTAAAAAAAAAAAAAAAAGATGTGTCAGAATTTAGAAAGGTGAGAGCTAATGGGTGTGGTAGTTAATAGGGCATTGTTTGCACCTGTTTTACCACTCGGTGACCTGTAGGGAAATCTAAGTTTGGGACAGAGTTTTCATTCATCATCATTGAAGTCATACTTGTATATTTCTAGACTGTATTGTTCTTTGTCTTTAAACTGCATCCTTGGTTCTCTGGCTGATTTTTACTCCAAGGGCACAAGAGATTATAGTCCCCGGCAGATGGCAGTTCGGGAGAAGGTGTTTGATGTAATCATCAGCTGCTTCAAGCGCCATGGTGCAGAAGTGATTGATACACCTGTATTTGAACTCAAGGTGAGAGAGGGATGAGCAGAAATTATGTGGTGGAAGAATGGGAATGCCAACAACAAAGAGGGTGGCAAGGGAGTGAGTCCTTTGGGCCTCTCTCTTATTGCAGACAAAGCTTGGTATTTTCTCCATGAGAAGGGGGACAGGACTGGCATAGAGGGAGAGGGCCTGCTTTTTATTTACCTTGGTTGCAGCCAGCAGCTTCCAAAAGAGAGCCCTTTTCAGGAGTGGAAGCTGTTATGGCTCCAGACTACCCTGAATTCTGTGTCACCTGCACCCAAGATGTTTCCTAAATACAAGCAGATCAAACATATAAAGGATAAATATGCAACCAAGTCGCCTATTGATGGACCCTGAGGTGGTTTCTAGTTCTATTAAAAAGCAGTTCTTTGCATCACTCCCTGCTTAAAACCCACTGGCTCCCAGTTCATTTATAATAAAATCTAAGCTCTTTACTCAGGCTTACAAGGCCCTACATGATGTGGCAACTGCCTACCTTTCACTTCTCATCTCATGCTATTCTTCCCCTTGCGCACTTTGCTACCATGTTTTTTTTTTCTGTTCCTGGAACATACTAAATGTGTCTATCATAGGGCCTTTGTTCTTGCTCTTCCCTCTTCCTGAGCTCCCTTTTTCCCTAGCTCTTTGCATGACTTTAATTTCAGAGTAAATTAGATGTGATAGATTTTCATTTCATATTCTTAATTAAAATGCCATTCCTCAAATAATCCTCTCCAATGTCTTTTCTAAAGCAACCCTTATCTAGCATATCAACCTATTTTATTTCCATTAAAGCAGCTATCACTATCAGAAATTATCTGTTAATTTGTTTCCTTGCATTAATGTACTGCCTGTCTCTTGTCAATACTTCAGAAGATCCAAGAGGGCATGGACTGCCTTTGTTCATAGATGGAGACACAGGGCTTAGAACAATGTCTGGTAATAGTGGGCGTTTATCTACAGGATAAATTCCCAGAGATAGAATTTCTGCATCAAATGGTTGTACTCATTTCTATTTCTACCAACTAGATTAGTTTTGCAAGTGCTGCCATAACAAAATACCATAGACTAGGTGGCTTAAACAACAGAAATGTATTGCCAGGAAGCTGGAAGTCCAAGATAAGCTGTTGGTTCCTTCTGAGGGTCACGAGGGAAGGATCTGTTCCTGGTCTCTCTCCTTGGCTTTTAGATGGTGTCTTTTCCCTGTGTCTTCATATTGTCTTCCCTCCTCTGTGTCCAGATTTCCTTTTTATAAGGACATGAGTTTTATTGGATTAGGATTCACCCTAATGACCTCATTTTAGCTTAGCTACTTCTTTAAAGACCCTGTCCCCCAATAGAGCCCTAATCTGAGGTGACTGGGAGTTCAATATATGAATTTTAGAGGAAATGTAAGTTGAAATCAGTCATTGTTAGAAAGGGGGGTTTTGTTTTTAAAACTTCCTTTTAAATTTTTATATTTATCTTTGTGATCACATTTCTTTTTCTCCAGGAAACACTGACTGGAAAGTATGGAGAAGACTCTAAGCTTATCTATGACCTGAAGGACCAGGGTGGGGAGCTGCTATCTCTTCGATATGACCTCACTGTATCTTTTTAAACTTTGGATGGATTGGCCCTCACTGGGCTGGGGCTTTTCCTAGCCTCAGGTTTGAGGGCAGCTAGACATAGGTGGAATCAAATATAATGCATCTTGCAATCAGGGAAATTCTTTCTCTAAAGCAGGAACCAAACTTTGGCTAAACAGAGCATAGCTAGCCTTAGAAGGCTTCTGAAATCCTGAGTGAGACCTCAGCTTTATGTCAGGGTCCAGTTCTGACTCTGGCAGCAATCCTCTGGCTTTAGAATACGTCTCCCTTGTCCTGTCTAATGGATGGCGTTCTCCTAATTGACCAAAAGTCTGTTTCCTTTATCTCCAAGATATATCAGAGAATCATCTGCTTAGACATCGCTGAATAGGGCCCCCTTTCTGCTCCCCGGCCAATCTGCCCACCCCTCTGCTGTGCTCACCACAGCCCCATAAGAAAAGAGCCTTAATATTTTTTGAGACTTCAGCTGCCCCTGTGGTAACAGAGTTGATTCTTGCTGATGTTCAGAAATGTTGTTAATCTTACAGGTGGTGATGTTAAGCCACACAGCATGGGGTTAGACCCCAGCTTCCGTTGGTGAGGATCATCAACTTCCAGACTGTGATAAGTGGGCCATTCTCCTTAACTTTGTCATCAGGTTCCTTTTGCTCGATACTTGGCAATGAATAAACTGACCAACATTAAACGCTACCACATAGCAAAAGTATATCGGCGGGATAACCCAGCCATGACCCGAGGCCGATATCGGGAATTCTACCAATGTGTGAGTATGGGTGCAGGCTGGGTAAGGCAGCACTCCCTCGAGCTAGTAGAACCTACTGAGTACTCATGGTGTCCTGAACAAACTAGATGCCCCAGATAATGCTAACCCTAAGATTTCTTTAGTATTTTCACATACAGGACGGGGATTATTCTCCTCATTTTACATATGAGTAAACTTGAGACTCAGAAAGATGAAGAGACTACAGGGATAAGAAGGGCAAAGTTAGGACTAGAAGTCTTGGTCCAGTGCTCTTTATATGAAACCACAGTGATAGGATGACAGCAAAGGATGAGGAAATTGGATTTGAGGTACTGTCATCCAGACTGGTGGCAGAGCTTCTAAATGAAGAGAGAAAATGACGGAGGCCAGGTAACTCCCCCCACAACAGTGGAAGGAAATAAGGAAAAATATTGAAAGTAATAGCCCAATAAATGGGAAGAAAACCAGGGCCTGGTAAGAGACCCAGGAAGGCTGGGGTTTTCCTCTGGGCTGACAGTCAGACAGAAAATGAAGAACATGGCCTGCACATGAGTGCAGTGAGGCCTCCTTCATGGAAAGCAGAGCTCCCAGGATCCTCCCTCAAGGTTAAACCCCTGAGGACCTCTAACTACCCCTCTCCCTACAGGATTTTGACATTGCTGGGCAATTTGACCCCATGATTCCTGATGCAGAGTGCCTGAAGATCATGTGTGAGATCCTGAGTTCACTCCAGATCGGCGACTTCCTGGTCAAGGTCAGAACTGAGTGGAGCTGTGGGGGGCAAAGCTGGGCCTGGCCTCTCACAGGAGAAGGTTCTGGTACAGAGGGAACAGTAGCCTAAGCATCCAGCACTATCAAGGGTCATGTAAAGAGATTCCTTATCACTATGCCTTGGGTCACTGTAGGTGAATGATCGGCGCATCTTAGATGGAATGTTTGCCGTCTGTGGTGTTCCAGACAGCAAGTTCCGCACCATCTGCTCCTCAGTGGACAAGCTGGACAAGGTAACCGCCAAACACTTGACTGTTCTTTTCCCAGGTGCAACCTTGCCCTGAGATATGGAAAAGATTAGGAGAGAGAGGGCCCTGCCTGTATGCCCACAGAGGAAGATTAGCTCCAGGATATACGTTGACAGGCAGCTTCTGCTCAAGACACCCCCTGAAGAGGGGTCATACTTGCTCTGCCCTGGGGAAGCTGTCCAGGGTTCCCTGACCCTGGACATCTGTCTGCCCAGGTGTCCTGGGAGGAAGTAAAGAATGAGATGGTAGGAGAGAAGGGCCTGGCACCTGAGGTGGCTGACCGCATTGGGGACTACGTCCAGCAGCATGGTAAGAAACACAGCCTGCCTCCCAAGCAGCCATCCCACTACCCTCACGCTAAAGCCGAAATTCCTTTTTGTGTGTGTATGCATACATTTATCGTTTTCTTCTTGTCAGTCAGTCTGGCTCACAGATCTGTCTCCCCAGGTGGAGTATCCCTGGTGGAACAGCTGCTCCAGGATCCTAAACTGTCCCAGAACAAGCAGGCCTTGGAGGGCCTGGGAGACCTGAAGCTGCTATTTGAGTATCTGACTTTGTTTGGCATTGTTGACAAGGTGAGTCAGGTTGGGATGGGAGTCTCAGCTGAGCTCCGGGGCTGGAGGCCAGCCCTTGATCCTCATCTGATACTGACCATGTTCTTGTCCCCCCAGATCTCCTTTGACCTGAGCCTTGCTCGAGGACTGGACTACTATACCGGCGTGATCTATGAGGCAGTGCTGCTACAGCCCCCAGCCCGAGCAGGGGAAGAACCCCTGGGTGTGGGCAGCGTGGCTGCTGGAGGGCGCTATGATGGGCTGGTGGGCATGTTTGACCCCAAAGGGCGCAAGGTGCCCTGTGTGGGGCTCAGCATTGGAGTAGAGCGGATCTTTTCCATCGTGGAGCAGAGGCTGGAGGTAGGACTTGGGGCTGGGTGGAAGAAATTCTGGGCAGCTGGTGGCACCTGAGCTATCTTCTTTGTCTCTAAGGAGGAAGTAGTACTGCACTGGTCAAGGAACATCTTTGCAAAGAAAGAGAGAAGACAGTTGCTGTCCTTCAGACCCTCACCCTAATACAGGCCAGCTTGATGGATCTTTAATCATTCTTTCTTTGCAAAATCCTTTGCTCTGGGTCCCTACTTTGCTCAGAGCTGTCAGAAATCCAGGCCAATATATCTAAAGACCTGGATCTTTCTCATAATACAGAATACTTAATATTTTACTACTCTGTGCTTGGGCACTGTGCCTAGTGCTTTTCATGCACTGTCTAAAAAACTTCTTAAACAGCCTTCTGAGGGTAGTAGTAGTAGTTTAGTCATGAAGTCATGTCTGACTCTTGGGACCCTATGGACTGTGGCCTCCCAGACTTCTCTGTCCATGGGATTCTCCAGGCAAGAATACTGGAGTGGGTTGCCATTTCCTTCTCCGGGAGATCTTCCCAACCCAGGAATCAAACTCAGGTCTCCTGCATTGCAGGCAGATTCTTTACCAGCAGCTATGAGGGAAGCCCAAGAGGGTAGCTACTTTTATTATTTACATTTTTCAGGCAAGGAAACTGAAGATTATAGATCAAATAATTTGCCAAAGTTTAAGTGGCACAGTCAGAATTTGAATGCAGGCAGTCTAACTCCAGTCTTGCTCCCAATGACTCTGATACTGTCTCTAAGTGGGAAGCATGTATCTGAGGCTCTGGGATCCTTCAGATGGCTATCTTGACTCCCCAGCACCTACAGTAATGTGAGGGAAGCCCTTCATGGCCTCAGGCCCACTTCTGTTGCTACTGTTCTTAAGTAACCTTCCCACTGCTCCCATCCTTTTCTTGAGGTCACTGTTTTCCAATTGAAGTTCCAACAGGCAGCTTATATTGTAAGAATAGAAACAGTTTTCCATAAAAAGAAACAGGCAGCAGCAGCATTCTTTCTCCCCTCCATCCACACCCCTCCTGTGGCTTTAGTGTAAGAGATAGTCTCTTGATTGTCAATACCAGAACTGCTAGGGGTGATTGGATTGCCTGTGTGAGTGCAGAATATCACTTCCTTATGATGGATCCACAAGATAGTAGATGGAGATAAGCTTGTTTATAAACTGTACATAAGCTACCTTTGTGTGTGCTCAGTCACTCAGTTGTGTCCGACTCTTTGCGATCCCATGGCCTGTAGCCCACCAGGCTCCACAGTCCATGAAATTCTCCAGGCAAGAATACTGGAGTGGGTTGCCATTTCCTTTAAAAGCTACCTTTACCCTCCATTATTTATTCTGGCAAGTCATATGCACAAGCCACTCAGTTCATTTCTTATTCTTCTAAGAGCTACTTTTTGCCCAATTGCTACATGAGAAAAGACTAGCCTGCCCTGATGGAGTTGGGGCCTGTTCTCAGAATACTGACAAGAGCCTGCTCTGTTTGCTCACTGAAGGTGTTACAAAGGGTAGCTCAGCTCTTTCTTAACTCTTTTCTAGGCCTTGGAGGAGAAGGTACGGACCACAGAGACACAGGTGCTTGTGGCATCCGCACAGAAGAAGCTGCTGGAAGAGAGACTGAAGCTCGTCTCAGAGTTATGGGATGCTGGGATCAAGGTAGAGGAGGCAAACCCCCGGGTGGCAGCACATTTGGGAATGCTGGACATACATGAAATAAAAGCTTGTCCACAGTGGCCCTGCCATTGCTATGATTTCTTGGGGTGAAGATGAGAGCGAGGGGCCCCAAAAAGGTTGTCCCTGAGGACTGCAGAAGCCAGCCTTTTTTCTTCTCTGGTCCCCTGCAGGCAGAACTGCTCTACAAAAAGAACCCCAAGTTACTAAATCAGCTGCAGTACTGTGAGGAGGCAGGTATCCCACTGGTGGCCATCATTGGTGAGCAAGAGCTCAAGGATGGGGTCATCAAGCTGCGCTCAGTGGCCAGCAGGGAAGAGGTAAGTAGGTAGGCAGGAAGGGGGAGGGACATGGAATGAATGCCATTTCTGGACGCTGCAGCCCACTCAAGACCTGAGCAAAAGTCTGGCATTCATATTAGCCCCCTAAAGGTCTAAGGGGGTAGCATGATACTATGCTTATGGTCTCCATCCCCACATACCATGTGTCTCTCTGGCTTCCCCAGGAAGCACTGTCTCCCCTGACATTGTTGATTGGGTTCATGCTCCCAGCGGAGCCAGGCCTGATGACTAGAGGAAGGCATGGGCGCTCAGCAGTGGAACACAAGATGGTCATACCACCTTGTCCTTCCTTCCTGGCCAGGTGGACGTCCGAAGAGAAGACCTTGTGGAGGAAATCAAAAGGAGAACAAGCCAGCCCCTTTGCATCTGCTGAGTTGAGCAAACTATCAGAAGAAAGCGGGACTGACACTATTTAAGGCTAAGATAAGACTCTGCATACCTACTTCAGCTTTGCACATTTCTGTCCCAACAGGAAGACCTGAAAAGTGGTCAGAACAGAGACTTTTTAATTTTTATTATGATTATTTTATTTGTAATCACAGACAAAAATGGTCAGGTACTATACCATTTTCCATATGGCTCTGGGGGCTACAGGTCCCTGGGCTACAGGGACCTGGCGCAAGATGGTCTCTTCTGCAGAGCCCTACAACCGGGTGGAGGGAACGTTCCCCACAACGAGCCTTGGAAGGTCCAATAAAATGCCTCAACCACTGGAGCCTGCCTGTGTCACTACCGCCTAGCCCTGCCTTCCTCGTCAGTCTGGGTCTCCCACTGCGACCACTCCAGCGGTAGAAAATGGGGAGAGACACTTAACAGTAGCTCCCATGGGCTCTTCTGCAGGGTAGAGGGTGTCCCGGACGTTCTTATCTGTATTGTAGCCTCCATCCTGCCAGTCTGCAAGCCATTTTTGAAGAGGTGGAGCTGTCTGCAGACGCACTCGCTAGGGTCTCTAGCTTTCACCTGCTGGTGCGAGGTTCGAGCGGCGCAAGTTCGGCGGATACCCCACCCCCTTGGTGGGCGGGGTCGTGCTCAGAGCCAATGAGAGCTTGGGGGGTGGTGGGGTAGGGAAGTTTCCAGATAGGCAGATAGGGAGAAGGTTATAAAGGGGGTACGAGTAAGCCAGCTGGGAAGCCATGCAGTCCAAACGCGAATGTGAGGTAAGTGGTTGGATACTAGAGGGTTGATGAACCCTGGGCATCACTGGCGAGACGGGGGACGGACGCGGCAGTCCGCCATTCCACAACCCACCCTTTCCCCCTCAGCTGTGGTGTGAGAGGGTGAATCCCGAAAACAAGGCGGCGTTGGAGGCGTGGGTCAGGGAAACCGGCATCCGGCTGGTGCAGGTGAACGGGCAGAGGAAGTATGGCGGGCCACCCCCAGGTAAGGTCGTCCCAGCCGTCTGCCTGCTAGGGGGCTAAGCCAGCCTCTACGGCCCCGACTCGCCGCGTTCGGGGGAGGGAGGGGCCTGCCCCGAGGCTCCGCTCGGAGTTTAGTCAGAAACCCCAAACTACCCGTTACACGCCCCCCGCCCCCAGCAGATGAAATATGTAATCAGTGTCTTCCCACCCACCCGCCCCCTCGAGGAAGGGAGCAAGTCTAGTGTTAAGGTGCCAGTCCCATTGGTAATTCAATCACTCGATTATGCCGACGACCCGGAGGAGTACGGGTGTTTTACCCATTTTCGCAGACGTGTGCACCCATACTCCCTCAGGCGCTCGGTCCCTGGACCCCGACCCAAGATCTATCCGGTTGGATGACAGTGCCCTTCCCCACCCTCTTCTCCCAGGATGGGTGGGCAGCCCGCCGCCAGCGGGGTCGGAGGTGTTTATCGGGCGGCTGCCCCAGGACGTGTACGAGCACCAGCTGATCCCACTGTTCCAGCGCGTGGGCCGCCTCTACGAGTTTCGTCTGATGATGACCTTCAGCGGCCTGAACCGCGGCTTCGCTTACGCCCGCTACAGCTCGCGGCGCGGCGCCCAGGCCGCCATCGCCACGCTGCATAACCATCTGCTGCGGCCGTCCTGCCCGCTGCTCGTGTGCCGCAGCACCGAGAAGTGCGAGCTGAGCGTGGACGGGCTGCCGCAGGGCCTGAGCCACCGCGCGCTGCTCTGCGCGCTGCAGCCGCTGGGACCTGGCCTGCAGGAGGCGCTGTTGCTGCCCAGCCCCGGGCCGACGCCCGCACAGATCGCACTGCTCAAGTTCAGCTCGCACCGGGCCGCAGCTATGGCCAAAAAGGCCCTGGTGGAAGGTAGGACTGGAGACTGCCGGGGACCGCTGGTTGGGAGCAAACACTTTATGCCGGGCACTTTACCTCTACAGGTCAGCATAGTTCAGCAAAGCGGGTTAAATCTGCGAAAGCTTAGGGTCAAGTTTGAGACAGACTATTTGACCTCACGTTTTTATATTTCCACTGGTCCTACCAGCTATCAATGACCTATATGTAACACTTTCCACGCATTATCTCCTGACTTAACCCTCCTCACTGTAGTGAAACAGAACGTTGTCTCTCTTGAGATTGGAGACTGGTTTAAGAAAAATTGACTTGCCGGAGGCAATCAACTGAGCTTACCTTTTACACATTGTAGAACCAGCTTCCTGAGACTGAGAATAATTAAACAGCTTTTAGCACATTCTCTTGTTCCTGGCAAGTTCTTGGCAAGTATTCATGGTAAGGTTTAGCTATTGTGATGGTTATGAGGTGGACAAAGCCTGCCATCAACTAAGACCCCAAGGGAACTTAGAAGGTAGCATTTATTAGGTCACAGTGAAGCCTAGAGAAGTTATTTAACTTGCCTGGGGTCACAGGCTTCCCTGGTGGCTCAGTGGTAAAAGAATCCAACTGCCAATGCGGGAGACACAAGACAGGAGTTTGATCCCTGGTTCAGCAAGATCCCCTGGAGGGAGAAATGACTACCACTCCAGTATTGCCTTGGGAAATCCCTTGGACAGAAGAGCCTGCTGGACTGCAGTCGATGGGGTTGTAAAGAACCAGACACACATGCACACTTGGGTAGCACCACCAGGAAATGGGGAGGTTAGAAATTAAATAGGCTTATGTGACTCCAGGGGCTTCCCTGGTGGCTCAGACAGTAAAGAATCTGTCTGAAGTGCAGGAGACCCAGGTTCAATTCCTGTGTTGGGAAGATTCCCTGGAGAAGGAAATGGCAATTCCCTCCAGTATCTCTGCCTGGAGAATTCTGTGGACAGAGGAGCCTGGTGGGCTACAGTCCATGGAGTCACAAAGAGTTGGACATGACTGACCAACTAACAGATTAAAAAGATGTGACTCCAAAGGACTTGAGAGTCTGGGAGTTTGGGCCTAGGGCTTAGACCTACCCTGTTTCTGCCTTTTTCCTGCAGGACAGTCCCACCTCTATGGAGAACAGATGGCTGTGGAGTGGCTTAAGCCAGACCTGAAGCAGCGACTCCGCCAGCAGCTCATGGGTCCCTCACTACAGTGCCTACAGCCAGAGGGCAGCCGATTAGCCCTGGCCAGGGACCAAGGGCTCGAGTTCCAAGGGTCTCAGGTTGCCTTGCAGCTGCTGTGCCAACGGATGAAGCTGGGCAGCCCAGTGTTCCTCACCAAGTGTTTGGGCACAGGCCCTGCTGGCTGGCATCGCTTCTGGTACCAGGTGGTGATCCCCGGGCATCCAGTGCCCTTCAGTGGCCTCATCTGGGTTGTGCTGACCCCAGATGGGCAGGATGGGCATGAGGTGGCTAAGGATGCAGTATCTGCACGGCTGCTGGAGGCAATGAATGAGTCCAGGGCCAGCCTCCTTCGGTCTACTGGGGCTGAGGCAGGAGGTACCATGGTTCAGCAGTGACCTTATCCTCTCCACAGGCAGCCTGTGTCAGCACCCAGCCCAGCAGGCCTGGGCAGCCACTATGTGATCCCAAGAAGGGGAGGAGCCTGGGCCCTGCCCTAGACCTGAAACAGCCTCCCAGCTGGGGCAGGGCCCCAGAACACCTGGAGGCAGCTCAGGTTTGGCCAAAGTTGTGGTGAGGGAACTTCTCCCATTCTGGGGTCTCATCTGACCCCAAGGTGTTCTGTGTCACACACACACACACACACCCTCTCTCCTCCTCCCACAGCTTAGTATGAATCTTTGCTTCTTCTTGTTTTGTCTTTGTTGAAGTTTTTATTTGAGGGCTGGTGGAGCCAAAGAGTCAAACATCTGCCTTTGCCCCCACCACTTGGTATTGTGGTTTTGGTGTATGTGTAGTTTTGAATTCTTCTATGCTGGTTGTATTTATATTAAACCCATGGTTGGTGTATACCTGTGTCCGTGCTATCTTGCCCCAACTGTGGGCTTTGTCTTAAACTGGCAGAGTGAGCAGCTGCCACAAAGCCAGTACTTCCTCACACAATGTGCTGATCCTGAGCATCTTCTCATGCTGCACAATAGGATATTTTCAGTTCCCAGCCTCTCCAGTGATCCAACCCAGAAAACGACTTTTGTCCAATGAGAACCCATCCTGAGTTTCAGCTCATCCATTCAGTCACTGTCATCCTCACTCTCCTCCTCCAGAGTTGTGGCATCCTCTCCCTCATCCCTCAGTCCTGCAAAGAAGTCATCAGTGCTCCAGGCCTTGCTGCTCAGTGCCTGCAGCGGTCCTCCCTTTTTCTTGCGTCGGCGGTAGTCCTCCACCACCACAGCCCGCAGCTGGGCCATGTCCCAAAACTTGAGTCGCTGGTCATGGCCACTGCTGGCCAGGAAACGGCCACAGTGGGAGAGAGCTAGCTTCTCTATAGGCTCCTCAGCATGCTGGCCCACACTGCCCACCACTCGGTTCGGCAGGATGTTGACAGCCCTGGGCAGAAAGAAAAGTGTTGGGTTTGGGTTGGCTAGGTCTGCCCTTCCTATGACTTGAGGGCCATCTGGTTTCTCTCACCTGATGACTCCATCAGTAGAGCCAGTACACAGCAGACTCTCCGTCACTGGAACCATGCAGTCGATGGACTCAGCTCTCAAGGCAAAGCGGTCACTTGTGGCCCCAAAGCCATCCCAGTTGAAAAGGTAGATGGTACCTTCACTGGAGCCACATGCCACCTTCTTCCCACACTGCAGGGAAACAGGGCAAAACATGTTTGTGGAGCCACATCAGATCAAGTCCCTATCACACCCTCATCTCACCCAACCCAGCTGTACTTTCATAAGTGTGACAGAGGTGAGGTCTCCAGATTGGGGCTCAGAGAGCAACTCAAACCGGCGTCGCTTGATGTTGAAGACACCGAGGCAGCCATCTCCACTGTAGAGAGAGCAAAGTAGCAGGCTTGGCTGGAGGTACTCACTGAGGGAGACATGTAATATAGGAAAAGGAGTGGGACACAGCTTTGAAGCTGTACCTGGCTGTCAGCAGCAGCTTCTTGGCAGGATCCAGAGCCATGTCAGCAATGTATTCCTCATGCTGCCGCATATCCATTAAGGGGCCCTCCTTCCTTTGGTCCCAGAGGCGGATGCCACCTGTGTCATCCCCAGTGGCCAGAACATTCTCGTCCACCAGCAGCAGACTGTTGATGGGGGCACTAGAGACATAGATACAGAAATTCCTGGAGCACCTTGGTCCTAGTAGGGATGTACCAGTCAATCCTTATCTTTTATCTCAACACACAATCGGCTTCCCCTTACCCGTGAGCTTTGGAAATGCGTCTTTCCAGTCGGCCCAGCTCCACATCTAGAAAATGGATGGCTCTGTCCTTGGAGACAGTAACAAGTTCTGGGGAGGAAACGCCCAGGTCATGGTACTGTTCATTGCTCCCTTCCCACCACCACATTGCTGGCAGCCTTCCCTACTACTCACTCTGCCCATCTTCAGAGAAGACAACTGCTCGGCAGGACTTGAGGTGGTGACCTGAGGACCACAGCTCCTTGGTTTCTCCCTCTTGGCAGGAGTAGGAAAAGCTGGGGAGAATTGAAGAACAATGAATGACCCCAGACCTCACCTGGCAGTGTAGGACCAACTAGCCAACTTTCCATCTACCTAGGAGTTACTGATTGTACACCTCCAAGCCCAAGGAGCTTACCATCCCATTTTCCAATTTTCAGTGAGTTTCAAATGTTATATCTTTTTTTCACTCAATGTATGTTTTGGGACCTCATCCCACCCCCATCCCTCTTCATCTTTGGAAACCCTAGCCTGGGGAAAGATTAAGTATGAATCACTCTGGAAGTCCAAAACTAACAACAGAAGAACAGGCCAAAGGTTGAAAATGTAAAGATTAATAAAGACAGGGATCTTACACTCCAGGACTGTGGGAGCTAAGTGTCAAAGTGTTAGTCACTCAGTCATCTACAACTCCGCGATCCCATGGACTGTAGCCCACCAGGTTCCTCTGTCCATGGAATTCTCAGGCAAGAATACTGGAGTGGGAACCCATTCCCTTCTCCAGGATCTTTCTCACCCAGGGATCAAACCCAAGTCTTCTGCACTGCAGGCATATTCTTCACCATCTGAGCCACCATGGAAGCCCAGGGGAGCTAAGGGAAGCCACAATTAATTATAGCACATTGTGACAACATGCTGAAATAGTGGTAGGATGAAAAGGGAGAGAGAACAGAGAGGTACCAGCCTGTAAGCTCAGCTTTGAGGCAAGTACCTGTCCAGAGATTATCCACAGTGCCTGCCTCAGCAGATCTTCAAAAAGGGTTCAATAAATGCTCTGTCCCAGTGTCTAACATGAAAAAGCTGCTTAATAAATATTCACAGACTGAATGAATACCTTGGAAGGGAAGAGAGTCCTGGAAAGCTAACCACATTGATGACACCTGAGTTGGATCATGAATAGTAGTTCACCTGGCAGAGAACAACGGGCAGATACTGGAGACAGATGCTAATATTCTTCCCACGGCAGAAAAAAGGGATGAGGAGAGTTCAAGTGGCAAGAGAGGTATGGCTAAATCTTGAAAGATGAGCTGAACTGGGCTTAAGACAATCATGCAGGCCAAACAGAAGCCTGAATTGAATTCTTTGGGCAAAAGGAACCTCTCTGGAATGGTCATGTGTTAACTTCAAGGCCTCCAGAAGGCAGTGGCTGAGGGCAGGAAGAGGAGACAAACAGAAGCCATGAGGGGTATGAAGAAAGGTGACTCCCAAGTACCTGACACTGTAAACATGGACAGAAGTAATAAACCTCTCTACAAAATAAGTATTATTGTTCTCATTTTGTTTTTTTCTGGCTGCGCCACTCAGCTTGCAAGATCTTAGTTCCCCAATCAAGGATCGAAACTGGGACCCTGGCAGTGAAAGCACCAAGTCCTAACCACTGGACCGCAAGGGAATTACCCATTGTTCCCATTTCCAAAGATTAAAAATAAAAAAATAAAAAAATTTAACTTGCCCAAGGACACTGTAGCTAATGAAGGGTTTGGGATTTAAATCCATTAAGTAAATCTGATAGAACAACTCTCCTGGTTAGGGCCTTCAATGGCTTTTCACTGCTTCCAGCTTATATTTTTTATTCAAAAAGCAAACATGTATTGAGCACTCACCCTGGGCTAGAAGCAGCAGACATAATGAGAACTAAACAGACTACAGATTATACACTCCAGAACACCATATTTCAAATTCTAGTCATGACCCATTAGTGAGTTGTAGTCAGCATTTTCTCTATGCCCACAATTACAATAGGATAAAACAAACCAGAAAATATCAAAGTGCACCACACAAAACATAAAAGGTATTTTTACTGTGGGGTGAGGTAAAAAGTTAAAGTTTTCTTTTTTAGTGGAGGAGACAACATTTAAATTATTAACACAGATTACACATCATTATGCATTTTAGAAGGAAAAGGTATCTGGTGCCAAGGCAGATTCTAACAGGTAATCTAATTTAGTCTGCATCACCTTGGAAGAGTGAGGAGATGCTGAGAACTCTGGGACAACAGGTGCAAGAGAGGGAAATTCCAGGCAGAAGGATAACGTGTGCAAAGGAGCTGAGCCTTCAAGGTGCATTTTTTAAAAGGTAACAATGAATAAGCACAGAAACAAAAAAAAACTGAACAAGGGCCAGAAGGTCAAGGCCTTTAACCAGATGAAGGAATCTAAATCCTAAAAACAAAGGTAAACTACTGAAGGGTAAACTATTCAAGGAAGTGAAGGGGTCGGATTTGTGTTTTTAAAACATCAGTTAAAGTGGGCAAGGAGGGAAAGCAGGGGGCCCAGTTGGTCCTGTTTCAGAATCAATACATATTTCGGTGGGAATTAAGTGTCTCGAAGGGCTACTTGTTCGCCTGCTTGTCCGGGCTCCGTCACGGCATTCCAGCCACTCTTTCAGTTCTTTCAAGAGATGTGTGTGGTAACCTGCTTAAAGCCGAACGTTATTAAACGAACTGGACAAGATTTGAGTCTTGTACACTTAATCTCCCTGTAACTTTCTTTCCTCATCCCAGCTCCATTCCTGAGGAGCTTCCAGACTGAGCAGCCCTAGGCCCACCACACTCTTCACTCCCCCATCTCTGCCCTGCACTTACACGAACACGTCCCCGTCCACGTCCCCCGCTGCCAATAGGTCGCGGCCCGGATGGAACGCCAGCCCACTAGCTGGAGCCTCCAGGACGATATCTTCCGGAGTGTCCCGGATCCGGGCTGGGGCTTCTGTGGAGTCGGGATCCTCCTCGTCGCTCCCATCCTCCGCGGGCCTCTCCTCACACATGCGGTCCATGCACCAGATGACCTGAGCCGCAAAGGAACCGGGAACTGAACCCAAGAACCAGCTACACAGCGGTAGGAATGGCCCAGGGAACCGCTTCAGGGTTGAGGGGCTGGACAGGAAGTGGCGTTTAGGCGTTCTCCGTAACCCGGAAGAGGCGGGGCCGGACTCGGCTCGTAAGTGGAAACGAACTGAGGAGCTAGGCCGCTTATGCCCGGTACTTCCATACGTTGCAATGGAGAGTTGCTGGGCTGGCTATACAGCACAACCGTCAACACCCTCCTTGGCCACTTCACCTGGAGATGGGAACTGCGTTTTCCTGATTCAGGCTGACAGTTTGGTACTGCCTCCAGCAGTCAGCCATAAAGGCTAAGCCGGGAAGAACTTATGCTTTTGAATTGTGCTGAAGAAGACTTGAGAGTGCCTTGGACAGCAAGGATATCAAACCAGTCTATCTTAAAGGAAATCAACACTGAATATTCATTGGAAGAACTGTAGCTGAAATCAAACCAGTCTATCTTAAAGGAAATCAACACTGAATATTCATTGGAAGAACTGTAGCTGAAGCTCCAATACTTTGGCCATCTGATGCGAAAAGTCGACTCTCTGGAAAAGACCCTGATACTGGGAAAGATTGAAGGCAAAAGAAGAGGGCGGTAGAGAATGAGATGGTTAGGTAACATCACAGATTCAATAGACATGAATTTGAGCAAACTTTAGGAGATAGTGAAGGACAGGGAAGCCTGGCGTGCAAAAGGTAAGGATGACTGCCTGCCCTCAGGGGAGGAGAGGAGGACGCCAGTCATTCATGGCTTGGTGAAAGACCAAGATGAGCCACAACCAGTTTGATCAGTAAGCGACAAAAGCCCACACCGCAAGAATTTGACTTGCGGGGGTCCCTGACAGCAGGCAGCCCACTCACACTTAAGCTGCAGCCGCGGATGGATACTGAACATCCTCATGGCCAAACCAACAGTGCCCCACCAGTTCCTACTGTTTGGCTGCAGACCCTCAGCAGGACTGGGCCAGCAGTGCTGAGCTGGCAAGGAGTTGCTGAAAAGGAGAAATTGACACAAGAGTTGATATTCTGGTTACCAAAGATTCCACAAAGATGAGAGCACTCTGTATTGTGGGACAGATGAGGAGGAGCATGGGCTCCTGTCTGAAGAGAACGTTCTGACATTGTAGTATAAGGTAGTATAAGCCTTCTAAGACATCTTACATGCTGATACCAGCTCCCTTAAGAAGAGGTGAAAGACGTGAGGTTAGAGACCTCAGCGAGGCTCCAAGTCCCTGTATGGACTTGTGAGTCCTTGTTCCTCACTATGCGGCCACCTGGTTACTTCCACAAGGCTTGGTGGTACTTGCAGAAACTTATTTTAAACTGGTAGTCAACCCCCAGGTCTGGATCTTAAGTGACCCTCTAGGTATCTTCATTTGAGCCAGGTCAGTTTCTGTGACCTTTTCCCTAATTGTGACTGCTGCCAACAACCATGAAATAAGGGTATCACTGTCTGAAATTAACCCTTCTAGGTGTTATTTCAGACAGAGCCCAATTTCAGCCTCCTAGATGCCATGCACAAAGCTAGCTTCTTCAAAAAGCCTACTCTCTCAAGGTGAAAGTAACCAAAGGCAATGGCTAAGGTAACCATCTAGCTTTTCTTGGATCCTGTAAGCCTTCAGGTTGTACTTCTGGGCAGGCAGTGTCAGCTATGGACCACCCAGAAATAAACTGTGACCTTTGTTGACAAGTACCAAAGTGCTGGCAGTAAGCTGAGAAGAAAGGGATGGTGAAGGAGTGAGCTGAAGGCCAGAGAGCCCACACTTAGGTCCTGACAAACTGTTCAGTGTGTTGAAGGGCACCAAACCCCTCTTATCTAGGATAGGGATTCCTCAAGTGAGGGATTCCTCACTTCCCTTCCAACCCAGTAAGCAGTGATTTCTGCTTGGAATTACTGAAGATCCCAGGAAGGCATAAATCTGTGAAAGGTTTTTTTGTTCCCAGGAGTGTTTCTCATCAGGTGCCTTCACCTAGAGCCCAGTCGTGCACAACCTTGGGGTCAGACTGGCAGCCCATTGGGCTAACCTCAAGTCCCAGAGAACTTCTACCCTAAGACTAGGTCCCCAGATGAGTCTGATATTTAAGACCAATCATCCTTGTTTTTCTGTGCTATCAGTGAGGGTCATTCGTCCCTTCTCCACTGGGTATCCTGGCTACTATATATACTGCTTCAGTTCAGTTCAGTCGCTCAGTCATGTCCGACTCTGCAACCCCATGAATCGCAGCACGCCAGGCCTCCCTGTCCATCACCAATTCCTGGAGTTTATTCAGACTCATGTCCATTGAGTCGGTGATGCCATCCAAGCATCTCATCTTCTGTTATCCCCTTCTCCTCCTGCCCCCAATCCCTTCTAGCATCAGGGTCTTTTCCAATGAGTCAACTCTTCGCATGATGTGGCCAAAGTATTAGAGTTTGAGCTTCAGTCCTTCCAATGAACACCCAGGACTGATCTCCTTTACGATGGACTGGCTGCATCTCCTTGCAGTCCAAGGGACTCTCAAGAGTCTTCTCCAACACCACAGTTCAAAAGCATCAATTCTTCGGCGCTCAGCTTTCTTCACAGTCCAACTCTCACATCCATACATGACCACTGGAAAAACCACAGCCTTGACTAGACGGACCTTTGTTGGCAAAGTAATGTCTCTGCTTTATAATATGCTATCTAGGTTGGTCATAACTTTCCTTCCAAGGAGTAAGCGTCTTTTAATTTCATGGCTGCACCATCTGCAGTGATTTTGGAGCCCAAAAAAATAGTCTGACACTTTCCACTGTTTCCCCATCTATCTGCCATGAAGTGATGGGACCAGATGCCATGATCTCAGTTTTCTTTTCCACTCTCCTCTTTCACTTTCATCAAGAGACTTTTTAGATCCTCTTCACTTTCTGCCTTAAGAGTGGTGTCATCTGCATATCTGAGGTTATTGATATTTCTCCTGGCAATCTTGATTCCAGCTTGTGCTTCTTCCAGCCCAGAAATCTATTAACAGAAGCACAGCTCAGTAAAGGACTGAGCTGACTTTTTCCATGTGATTTTTATACAATCAGTGGGATTAGTAGACTTCTTGGTGTACCTGGGCCCTCAATATACATAAGACAAGACAGCAGGTTAACCAACTTTAATGGGATCAAAACATTATACAATAAAATTTATATACATTCACACACAAAAAAAAATCTTTCAACTTTTTTTGGAATTGTATAAAGCAAGCAGTGGGGAGTAAATCCTTGTGGAGATTATTCTTGGAGTTGGAACCAGAGATTTTAGTATTTTGGTCTTTTCACCTCAACTCTGCAATAGAAGGAGAAATGAATGTAAGATCAATATACTAAGCAATTCTCACCAGTCCCACAGAGGAAGAATGTTGCTGCTCACCCATCAGCTTCCATCTTCTTCCTCTTCTCAATGATCTGCAAGAACAGTTATAGTTGACAGACTGCCAGTCTAAGTTCACCTGAAATCCAAGGCTGACCTCTCTCCTACTTCCATGGCTCTCCAACCCCTTGCCTGGTTCCTGAATCTGTGGGCCAGTATGTCTTCCCAGCTAAGGCCCTCCCACCCAGAATCAGTCCCACTTACCGCACTAATCTTTTTCCACTGGCGATCAAGCTCTGCTTTGTCATTGGTTTCCTTGAAGCGCCTGGTTTTCCGCCCTTCAGACATCTTGATGCCATACTGGAATGCAGCTCTGAAGGGAAAAAAAGGGGAATTGAGGGAAGAAAGCATCAGAGGTTGCAGAGCAGTAGCAAGATATTCCCAGAGGACCTATGAGCAGAGATCTGATTTTGTAATGTTTCAGCCAGACTACACCCTCTAACCACCCCCATCCCTCTTCTCACTCTTGGCTGTATTTAGTACCAAGACTCACTTGGGCAAAGCCTCCTTGTTGTTCATATACTCGCTATATTCCTCCTGGGTGTCAAAGTCCCAGCGGCCTAAAGGACCTTTCTTGTTACCCTGTTGCAGGACAGAATGGGGGGGGGGGGCAGGGCAGGGAAGGAAGAGTTGTCAGTGGAAATGATATTTTAGCCCTTGATTAAAGCCAGGCTCTCCCATAATCCCAGGTTTTATCATCAATAAATCCTACCTTAATAAACAATAATAAGTGTTTACTATGTACTTACTATGGGTTAGGAAGATCCTCTGCAGAAGGGAAAGGTTACCTACTCTAGTATTCTGGCCTGGAGAATTCCATGGACTATATAGTCCATGGGGCCGCAAAGAGTTGCACAAGTGAGCGACTTTCACTTCACTCACTCCTATGGGCCAGGCAATATTCTGCACACTTAACATGTACTTTAATTCTCTCAGAAACTCTTCTGAGAGAACTTAAGAGTTCTCTCCATATTCCTAATGAGGAAACTGAAGAATACACAATAACATAATTTGACATGGTCACAACAATAATACTTGGCAGAGCCAGGGTTAAGCAAGGCTCCAAAACAGAATTAAACCATGCTATTAAGCACAAAAGTACAGAGAGAACAAGGAAAAGGTTACATGACACTTCTTCACCTTTATTGGTGTTTGGTGCTTTTGTTTGTTTAAAAATTAGAGGAAAATATCAATCCTGGCTATAATAAAACTATATAATATAGTTATATATATTTAATATATATATATTTATATATACAATATATATATTTATATATAAAACTATATAATAAAAAGTTATTTCCCTTCTTCTCCTGCCAGTTATTTTCTAAAAACTGAAATTCCTTCTGCCCTTTTCTACATTTGCACTAAAGACCTGCTTACTGCCTAAAATGGAAGTCAAAGCCTGGCACTTTATAGAAAATAAAAAGAAACATACTTTTGGCCCTATCTCATTTGACACTTTAAAACAGTTAAGCTGCCCAAGACCCCACAATGCCACTGCTCCTACTACTCTAGCTGAAGGAAGATGAGACTCAGGAAATGACAGCTGTTTTGGAGGAGGAAACAGGATATAT